CAACCTTTCTGACTTCATTTTGCCAAATTACTTCCGTTACTTGAGTAATTATAAAGGTTTCTTTTTTTTGAAACTTGATATTACATTGCACTGAGCACTAAGATTTTTTGACGAGTTATTTTCATTTTTTTTTTTTACTTTTTTGTTTTACCAACTGTTTTTAGGATTAAGATTGGATGACTTGGATTGAGATTATTATCAACAAAAGCATGATTTTGAGAGGAGATTAGCTTCGTTTACTCTAAAAATCAATCAGAAGCAATCACCTAAACATATTTTCACTGCATTTGTGTTGTAATAATAAGAAATCAGATAGCTTTTTCAAAATGGAGTCTAGATAAGTCCTAAACATCTGCAAATTCTAATATAGTAATTTAATTCTCGGAATCATTTTTCTACAGAAGAATATAGACATTTTCACATAAAATTAGTCACTGACTGAATCAGCAACTCAACCTTTTGTCGATTTGGATTGCAACTTCAACCCAAGCAGAACAATTAGTTTTTTGAAATTTGTATCTCTGTAGTTTTATATTGTTTAAGTTTCAGCATCGAGAAACTCCATCTCATCCAACGACGGCTCATATTTACTCTCTTTCGTGCGTTTACACGACAGAGAATCACTATTCCTGAGATTAAGAACCATTCCTGGTTTTTGAAGAATCTCCCATCGGACTTGATGGATGAAAACACAATGGGAAATCAATTTGAAGAGCCTGATCAACCGATGCAGAGCCTCGATACAATAATGCAGATAATTGCTGAAGCCACAATACCGGCAGTTGGTTCACATGGCCTTATATGCATGACAGATGACCTTGAAATGGATTACGACGACGACATGGATGATCTGGATGACGAATCTGAGCTCGATATAGAAAGCAGCGGTGAAATAGTGTATGCACTTTGACAATTGATATCAAAGTGCAGAAATGAAAAATTATGGGACTTTTCTTTTGGGACTGGTTTTGACTTTGAAAGAATTTGTTAAGAGGAAGACTACATTAGCTAGCTTGTTCTCATCAGTTTGTAGATTATATTTACAAGTACTCCAGGTTTGCCTCCTCCTTTGGATTATGCCACGTCAATAAAACGCTGCTATTAATCCGCGTTGTTGGAAAAGATTTAAAGGCTGAGTTATGAAGAAGACAGGTTGGGATGAAAGTAGAATGCTGTTAAAAGGTCAGCCAGTTGAATTTGGTGTTGCTATTGCTTTTGACATTGCCTTTGTATTTGTTTGTGGCTGTTATTTGGCATGAATTTATGTACAAAAGTTATGGAGTTTCTGTGTAATGATTTATCCCTTTCAGGCGTTGCTTCTTAAGTTATGGACTATCTTTCTAGTTGCACCACAAACAAAATTTCTACTTCATTTCAAATAGATAGAGGTATTAGAAGGAATAGGGTATGTAGATTCATCTCCAGTTTTGGTTGATCAAATAAAGCCCCTTTATATTTCTGTAGCTACTTTTCGTGCAAAACTGCTACTTTCCCCAACCAACTGCTATTCTCTGAAGTGTCTAATTTGTTGCTCTTGCGGTAGTGAGTTGAGTTCCTTGAATTTGTGAGCCCTTCAACACCCACAATGCTCCTCCACTTTGTTTTCCTTTCAAGAGTTTGTTAGGTTTGTCCAGGAAACTAGTTCTTTATTTTTTGTGGTTTTTGAGTTAACTCCAAAATAAAGTTATATGAAAAGAAATATAACCAAAATCATGCTTGTGCAAGACTTGTTACCTATAGTCGTGGGCCGAATGTCATGACCATGCTTGTCTAGGGTATCTATTCCAAATCCATTTTACTTGTTTCCATGTTAGCTATGTCTTTATTATTTTTGTTACGTCAATTTAGGGGGGTTAGAACCCAAAATCACGTCAAAACTTATCAGGGCTAAAATGCCTCAAAATGTACTCTAGGAGTATGCGACTAGTTGTCAGTTTTTCCTACTTAGGGTATACGCTATCAAAGTTGTATTTGCGCCTTATTTGCTTGCTAGACTAACATTGCTTTCTTAAATCGATTTTTAAACATTTTCTCAAGAACGGGGCCAAAGACTTGAGCATACGTCACTCATGCCAATAACAACTCAAACTCTAGAGGCTGACTTACTTGAGAGTGAGAGTATGTTCTGCACAATCGTGTTGTGAGTCATGACAGAGTGCAATTGTGACAATTAGTATCAGAGTCTAATCGATTTCTTAAATCTGATTTAAGAAACATTTCCACTACAAAACAACTGGGCAAGTCCCAAGTTCATCGATTAGTAGAGATCAAAGAGCAGATGTTCTACCTAAGTGAAGTCCCTGATGGTTTGAGATTTTTGAAATCTTGCGTGAATGAGATTGCTACTAAAGTCAATAGAATCAATGAAGTGGCAGGCCGCCTTGAGGAAATGCCCATCCATGAATTGATATCAAGAGTTGAAAAAGGAGGAGACAAAGCTCTTGAGCTGGTGACTTCGAGCATGGGGATAGCTCGATAGCCTTTCTTGCCCAAATGGAGGAACGTATATAGGGCTTAGACAATGCCCAAAAAACGACTGTTCAGATAGTCTCGTAAATGTTTGAAGACATAAGAGTAGCCCTTGATGTGGTCAGGCTGAAATGCCTAAGCCCCAAGCTAAACCTCACCATGAGAGCCGATGGGAACCAAACCCCAGATAAAGGTGTAGTCTAATATAACAAGGTAAAGGTCCCAAAGCCTAAGCACTTCTTTGTGGTTTGAGATTTCAAGACTCTAGAGAACTTTATCATTGACCTCGAATAGTACTTTTCGAGATATAAGTATCATGGTAGAGGAAAACGAATGTCACATTGGCAACAATATATCTACCTGATGATGCAAAGTTGTGGTGAAGATTTAAGTACATGGACATTCAAGATGGTTGATGAATTGTGGACACTAGGAGAGCTCAAAACAAGAATTCTGCTTGCATTTCTTCTAAGAGAATTTTGAGAAAATAAACGGAAGAAAGTTGAGGGAATTAAGGCATACCAAAAAAATTTGTCGAGAATACATCAACATTTTTTTTGGATTGATATTGGATATTCGGTACATGTCCAAGAAAGATGAGAACTTCAGTTTTGTTGAGGGACAGGAGTCTTGGGCGAACACCAAACTCTACTAACAAAGAGTTTAAGACCTTTCTACAATGTATATAAAATCAAATGACTATTTCACCTTAGCAACGATCAATCTCAAGATATGAGGCAAAATTAGACTTCCGTAACTTGAGGTAATATAAATTACATATTTAACTTCCCCAAAGATGGAGACGGTGACCTGGAGGAGAGGAGTGTGAGTCCTTCTCTGGTAAAAATTCATAACAAAAGAACCGTTACATTCAAGGACTCTGTCTTGCTTCATATGCAAGGGACTCATGGAGAATCTGAATGTCCATAAAGGTCGACACTTCATATCTTCTAAGCCAAATTTAGAACGAATTTAAAAATTAAGTATAAGACGATGAAAACTGAAACACCACTAGTCGAAAACATTGAAAATTCCTCGCATGGGGCCCTAAAGTATTTATCAAATCTCTATAAGAAAGTGGGAGAGACAAAATTGCGAGTGGAGCGGAGTTTTATATATATTGAGGCTTAGGTTAACCACAGATCGGCCAAGAGCACTAGGGTCGACTTTGGAGACACCCACAACTTCATGTAGGAGACTGAAACAAAATGCTTGAACATAAAGTCATTTTCACGACCGTAGCACAATGTTTAGTGGTTATAGGGTTCAACCCCACCATCATTCAAACTACTACCCAACCATCAAAAGGGATAAAGAGAAGAGCTCGAGTAAGCCGATTCCAACAGAAACCTCATTGTTGCTAGCAGAACACCACAATGTATGACTAGGGATTTATCCTCACCTAGGGAGATAGATCAAGAAATTGGTTCTGCATCAGGGACGAGATTGCTTGCCACATATATGTGTCGTACAACTCAACTCAAGCTAGCTAGATTTCACAAGCGGCTAAACAACTTGTTGAATGTCAAGTTTATTAAACCCGCAAGGGCTATGTCAATGATCACTTGAATGTTGGGGAGAGACCTAAACCAACATCTTTACCACAGGGTGGACACAACTCATGTTTACTCACAATCATGCTTGTCTAAGGCGTGTTGTCTAAGACTATATACTCGTTCCAAATCCTTTTTACTTCCTTTCATGTTCGCTAAATCTTTGTTATTTCTTTTATGTCAATCTAAGGGTATATAACCAATTGCCAAAATCATGTCTGCACTTGTCAGGACTAAAATACTTCAAAATATACTACGGGAGTATGTGACTAATTATCAATTATTCCTACTCAAGCTATACACTATCACAATTGTGGTTGTTGCTTCTTTGCTTGCTAGCCTATAACATTGTTTTTTTAGATCGATTTTCAAACATTTTCTAGAACTTTATCTAGGATTGGAGACTTGAGCATATATCATCTATGTTAACAGTGACCCAAATTTAAGTCAGCTAACTTATTAGAAGATGAGAGTAGGCGTCACACAATCGTTCGTAGCAGCACAGCCATGTGTCGCGGACATATCCATTAGCCAATGGCTTTGTTTAGAATGATTGCATTACCAAATTGCTAAGGCACTTTTTCATCTCTATCCACCATATATATTTTGGATCGCAGGTAAAGTTTATTTATAAGAATAATGTGGATAAAAAATACTTTCTTGGTCCTTGAATCTTTAGGTCCATTTTCCATTTAGTTCTCAAGTTCCAAAATCCACTATAGCTTCCAATTTTGATTTTGATTTTATTTATTTATTAAATTTTAAGATGTTACATTTTGTTTGATTTTTTTTATTTTTTTATTTGTAGCGTTCAATATCCAATTTTTCACTAAATAACCAATTTTTGTTTGTGATGTTAGTACCTATTAATTAATTTAAACATGAATATGCAAGTCCATGACCTTTTATTTATTATGAGAACATGTGTTTTAAAGCATTCATTTAGTGACATCACTAATTTAGGAGAAGAAAATGAAGGGCATTAAAAGAATCAATGAATCATTATACAATCATTTTTTTCTTAATCGACTACGTCTTAAATTAATACATACAAAATGGGTGGTGCCTACTCTTAACTTCTGCATCAGTAAGAATGTGCTTCTTTCTATAAGCTACAGGAGACAACTTCACGTGTTTTCTCGTCTGCTATCAATGGAGCAGAAGCGTTTCTGAATGAAAAAATACACTACATTTGCATTACCTCAATTGATGATATGACTTCGAATGGCTCCAGGTCTGAAGGCCTTCAATATTCCACACATACAAAGAATAACTGAGAAAGGAAGATATTTGAAGGGCTCGAAGATGACGCTTTTGGACTAACAGAATCGTCCAAGCTTGAAGGAAAGTTGGAGCTAAATCAAAATTGGAACTCCATGCTTCAACAAGAGGACCTCTGGATGGGGCTGATGCCTCCCAATTACTTTATTATTCCATGGGAAGCTCCAGAAATTTCGTCAAACTGCGTGTAAAAAGAAGACAAACTTATACAACTCCAGTAAAAAGAAAACTTGATTTCAGTTGAAACTAAACCAACCATACCACCAGTCAAATGGTCAATTTCATTTCTTTGGTTTCCAAGTGAGATCAATAGGTCGGTTTCAGTTTGTACCCACAAATAATGGACTCCAACGGACTGATATTCGACCTAAATTTCAAGATAAACCTTTTGTGAGATCTCACATCAATTGGAGAGGAGAACGAAGCATTCCTTCTAAAGGTGTGGATACCTCTTCCTAGTAGATGCGTTTTAAAACCGTGAGGCTGACAGCAATACGTAACGGGCCAAAATGGACAATATCTGTTTGTAGTGAACTTGGACTGTTACACCTTTCTTTTTTCCATCGCCCAAATTCCTCCTTCCAGACAAATGAGACCTTTCTTTTCTTAAATTTCAGAAAAGGTTCTTTCACTCCATTACAGATTCAAGTTTCTTATGTAAGAGTACTCTTCCAAGTTCCAACCCAATTCTGAAGAAAACTCGACATACCTTACAAATATGTTTGAAGGTAGAATTAGAACTCCACATATTTTTGGATTCAATAGCGCTTAGACCAACTTGAGGCCAGAAGAATCAATAATGGTTGGGCACATTCTTTCCAAAACCTCAAGTCTAATTAGGAAAAGATCTTTTAATTGACAAGAAACAACTATCCAACCAGTATAAACAAAATTCTTTCTTGATGCCAAGAAACCTCACACAGCCTGAATCAGATGCCCCATGACAAAATTTCTTATAACCGGAATCCTTCATAATTTTAGTGATGGGCAAGAGTGCCTTATTTAGCTAAATGGGTTTGATAACATACCCTGTAGAAAAACTATTCACAGATTTCCAGGATACATCAAAAGAGATGATATAAATTACTCAACACGAACAGAAAATTTCTGATAAAATATTAAAACCAGAGTGCAAATCTTATTACTCAGTGAAACAATGTGCAGATAAGCGTACCGTTTTATGAGCACTTCGGGATTGTATGGAAAGAGATTCTCTCTATGAAGATTTTCCAAGGATCTTTTCAGCGACTGCAGACAATTTTTAGATTTCTTGAGGGCTTTTACCCAAAATCTTTGAGGCTTGTAGCTATAATCGCAATTTTTAGCGTCCACAGAAGATAGAAGAGTTTCATTTCTTTGATTGGGTGAACTAGACAATAGCTCGTCTGGAATAGTTGAGCTATCCAGCAAAACTTTTCTTCTCTTGCATGAAGAGTGAGTTGTAACATCCCACTCCGTTGATAAATCCTCTGGTGCATGCCTGGAGTCGTTTATTATATGCAAACATCTACAAAAAGGAAAATTTGAGGCAAGTATCAGGAAGGGAAGGTACGATGCCCAGTAACATCAGGTGCATAAAACCAGCACTGTGAAAGAGCCATGTTCTGAGGCACCAATTACCATTCACTACCACATAATAAAAACTTACTGATAGATCAGAAAATAAAAGCTTAGACGGTAATATTGCAGACAAAGAGCAAGAAAGTTATCGGACTCCATGTTAATTAGATGTCAACGTGCTTCTGATGTAAATTTTAATAAGTTAACAAAGCAGTAAGGCACACCCAAGGAAATTATTATATTATTTTAAAACAACGCATACCTCAGGAGATATTCCAAACAATACGTTCCTGAATCTTTTGACATGAGGTAATCTAAGAGCATTTCATGATCATAGTTTAACTGCAAATAGAGACATAAGTCAAACAATGTCTGCAGTTCAAGGAAGGAAATAGAAGCAATCAAAACGAATAGGGCATTGAGGGAATTGAAACATGGGTGGAGGGCATGTCCTATCTGAAGTAATGTTTCTTGCCTCCTTAAGAAAAATGTGGAACATGTGCTGAGGATAAAAGAAGTTGGAAACATGAAAAAGTATATCTTCCTCCACATCCTGGGACAGTCCTTCACAAGACCTAAATACAAGCAATGACCATCTTAAATATGTTGCAAGTAGTAGTTAGCAAAATATAAAATAAACCAAACGGATTATTACTAACCATGGCCCTGAACGAGAAGGCAGAGGAAGAAGTTGCAACAACACTTTGAATAGTAAATCATCCTAGAGTTCAAGAGAATAAAATTATTAGACATAAGTTCTTTGAATATGTTTTATTTCCAATAAAAGGTTTAATTATAAGAAAGAAACACCAGTTACAACTTAGACGGTATCACAAGTAACACGGTCATGTTGTTCTCATAATTGTCCTTTTCAAACAATCTTCTCGTAAATTTAACTATATCACTACTAAAATGAAAAGCACATTCAAATTTTCTCAATTAAATACATCAAAATTGCAAATTATTTTTTTCTGTTAATTACTCAAAAGGTTTCACCTTGTGATCACCACCTTCCCATAAACTAATATGTTAACCAATCACCCAGGAAGCATCAACTTTTCCAGAGTGATATCTCGCAAATTACTTTTAGAAGATTCATTTAAAAAGAAAACATTAGTATGCAACCCACTGCGTGCATAAACTAACATATTTGTGAAATCTAGAACAGATTAAAAAACGAATACTGTCTAAAAATCAAGTGGTCAAGACAAGTATTATGCCTATTCAAAAGATTCCAAATGTGATATAATTCCCTGTTCAAGTTCATATCTACTTGTATGCCAGAACAAGCTGGCTAAGAAAGCAAACCAATACAACTCCATTATATACATTCTCTCAGTTGGGCATTTTGGCTTTGGGTCTGAGACAACCCTTACTTGATCTGTTCTGAAACGGAACCTAAACTAATAATATGAGAAAGCAGTGAACAACTTGGGACGACAGATGAGTCTGTCAGATTCATATATGAAGTCGTATGATCCCGACACTTGGCATGCTTTTGTGTATCCATGATGTGTCTCCGAACTCACATTCGTTTCTAGTGCATGAATATTCAAATGAAACATCTTCGTGATTGCATAATTAACACATTGCCCAACACTGCCCAGCCCTCCCATATATTCTCTCAAGCCCACGACCTCTAATGACAGAACCCGCCCTAGGTTACCCTACCCAACCTAGAACATGGAACCTATTGTCAAACTTAGAAAAACTAAACATCTTTTTTAATACAATTGGTGGCTAACAAAACTTTGCTGAAATAAATCCATAAAAATTTTGACAGTGCCGTTTGAAAATGGATAAAACACATCCGCAAGGAAACTGTATAAACACTACCAAAACAATCCAATTTCAATACTACAACCGTGTGCGCCTCACCAACATCAGTAAAACTTTGCTTCAGAAATTTAAAATCACAAAGCCCAGATTTTAATCAGGAAAAACATTTAGGCCCGAATCCTATAATCAATCATCAATCTAAAGGAACTATATACAAGATCATCAAAATATGTTAGCCACTCTAGTTGTATAAACAAGATATCAATAATACAAGAATGAGCTAAAAGCCCAGCAGAGTGGTCAGGATTCATGAAAAAAAATTCAAGACAATTACCATCATTCTAAATTGAAATTCAACACTCTGTAAGACAAGGTAAATCATGAACAATTCTAGAACTCGAGATAAATAAAACATAGAGAAATCTAGTAATATATTGAAAAATGTAAGCACAAAGTTGTAAAACCATCACCAAATATGTGTCCAAATCTCCAGTCATATTGGCATTGAAAAACTCAACACACACCTGTCAAAATTCATGATGTGGTTGTGCCCCCAAGAAAGTCATTGAGAATGATGACTAATCTAAGTGGGGTGAATGTTACAATTGTATTAAGAAGAGAGTAGGTTATGTCCCCTATGTGCAGTCAATCAGAAGGTGACACATGAAGGGCACCCATCAGACCACGTGAGCCAAAATAGGCAAGTGTCATGATATCACCGAAGAGCACAGTGCATCGCCCAATACACCAAGAAGAGTGTGCATGAAAGCCAAGCCGAGACATAAGCAAGATTAGAGACAATGTCGTTGTCATGAGTGTCAGAGACAGGCTTGACAAGGGTCTAGAAGGGCCCTAGACCATAACCTTAGAAGTCAGAGCTCTGGCGTGAGTTTTGACATGTAACTCTCGAGTTCAGAATTTCTCAATTTCTCAAACAATGATACATTTCTAAATTCTCAAGTATTCAAAGAATATCTCAAACATGTCAAAAACGACAATTCCAACTAAAATCATACAATCACATAGAAACTTCTTAAAAAATACCAAGTCATAAATTCTTCGAAATTTCATGGCATTAAATCAAAATTTCAATTTAGCAAACAGAAATCATGCTCTTCGTAATTAAAAATATTGATTGCTTTCAATAGATAAATAATTTACAAAACAAACATTAATTTCTCGAAGTTACTATAGTTCTCAATAATTAAATCATTTGAATCAACATAATCGTAGATGTTTTCAGCACTCAAAATAACCACTCACAACTACCACGTGTGAGGTATGTTCGGGGCATAATAGCTCCAATCTCTGCTTGACCTAAAACAATAATTTTTCCATAGTATTAAAAACTATTTAATCCCAAATTAGAGCACAACCTCACTAAATAACAGAAAACGTTAATTTCTCATTATCACTTAGGTTAACTGTACTTTCCATGAGTTTAAACTCTAAAATATCAAGTAATTAATGACTAATGTTTCCAATAACTCGTTAGTACTTCTCCTTCATCCCACCTTAAAAACTCTGGTGGCTTAGATGGTTAGGGCAATAAATTTCATGAATCTTATATTTCTAGAGGAACAAAAGGCATACAAAAGGCATTTTGTGTTTTGCTTGAATGAAGTGTGAAAACCGAACAATATGATTAAGTATTTTTTTAGAAAGTGAAATATACAATAACAAAACATAAATTACTGAGATGATAATCCATTTCTTTTAACTATATAAACTTGAAGGAAAGGAAAAGATGCTGCAGTTGAGTGCAATGAAAAATATACAATCAACATATGTATATCACATATCTGCATACGTGCTGGCATGCCCTTTTCTTTGTTAAATTATTATTTTCTCTATAAAAAACTAATGAACTAGAAACGAATATTTTAGCCATATTTAGGAAAATATGAAAGTTTCTTCATCACTTGAGTGTGAAAGGCAACCAAAAGGTGAACAAAATTCAACAGAAAGATAAAAAGAAGAGTAGCCATGGTTGGTTTCCAGAGATAAGGCATGCTCCATGGGAAGTGTTTAGTACAAGTGACTCCACCCACGTTGATCATCATAGATGGTTGCCTCTAACTAAAAGAGCAACCAAACAAACAGCTAATAATTATTCTATGAGATTCTCCTTTAGCCATCTCAGATACATTCTTCTTTAAAGTAGAAGATAGAAACATTGTGTGTTTTTCCTCGTACAAGAGTTTCCATGTAGGAATACTTCTAATGATCTTCTAGATTGGATAGGTTCAATTCTAACAGTTTGAGGTACATAGTTAAATAATAATCTAGTTTCCAAGTTGCATCTACTTTTTGTGTCCATTACAAATCAAATCAATCTTCAATTGACAATATTACATAGAAGTATCAAGTATACAGTAAATGAAAAACAATTAAAAATTAAAACACAAATATCTTAAACATTGATCTAAACATCACCCTGCTTCAAATATGGAAAACCAGCATTTCCAACACGACTTTTCATATTGAATAGAATACTATTAAAGGTAAAGGACCTAGCACCCCATTTATTAGAGAAATATTCATGAGGTGAATCCATGGGAAAAATATAAACATTACTGTAGATCTAGTTTAATAGAGCTTATAACATACTAGCATCTTATCTCTACTTTGTTTTCTTTTACAAGAAACATCAAGAGAAAAATGTACAAATCACTTGCACCATAAAGCCCAAGCCCTATCGATTGGAACAATGCAAAGAAAAATGTACATCTATAAAATAGAAGATAAAGCACAAAATAGTTATTGTGTAAAGCTTTATATGACATAGTGAAGAACAGAGAAGAAAATGTACAAACCTCATGCATATATAGCTGGAGAAATGATGACACGAACTTGATGCAGTTTGTTGCATATATTTTAGTATCCAAAAAATTATTTGTTGGAAGGTTCCCCTGAAGCCACTTATAGAGCTCCAGTATAGCTTTCTTGCTACAATTGCAGCCATCACATTTACTTTCCAAATTTGTAGTGCACATCAACTGAGATTTTAGAGCTATAGATGTATCATACTTTTCAGTAGGTTGTTTACATATGAAGCTTAAGGAACACCTGAGGAAAAGAAAAATAGCCAGTCTTCGTAGATGCATGGAACATGGACTACGTTCTTCACCAAAATAACTCAAGGTCAATGGAGAATCTTCAAGGGAAGTGTCGGAGGAAGATTCCAGCTCAAGCTTTGGAAGCAGCAAGAGATTTTGGAAACGATTTCTGCAAAGTTGCAACCATAGAACAAGAGTGGAACATTGAAGATGGCAACCGAAACTAAGCCTGATCATTAATATCTGAAAAGTGAAGAATTACTTAACTTAGTGAACCACTCAGAATTAAACCTTGTGTCACTCACGAGCAGCACAACATCAGCAATTTGTAAAAATTAAGATTTTCAGCTCCTTATATTTTGGTGGGGTTTCATATGATCCGGCAGATATATTCAAATTAACAAGATGCAATTAGCAACAAGAAATAAATTATTAAGTACAAGTATGCATATAAATATATATATATATATATATGAAGAAGAGTTGGGGTGGGGGAGGAGAGACAAAAAGAGATCATTATTGAAAAAGCTACGAATAACTTTCCAAGAGGGGATGAATAATAGAAGAAACAAATCCTTTCCACATCTAAATACAACCCATTCTCCTCATGGAGAACTAAAGTTACCAACCGAATATTAGGGAATCTCACTTGGTGTTTCGTTGGAGAAAGCCTAAGCAATGGGATCTCACGTTGGCTCAACCAGAACTTGCTTACAGCCATATGAAGAACCGGTCCATAGGAAAGCCACCATTTGAGATTGTATATACCAAACTAACTCCCTAGACTTATGGTTGATCTAGCTGCTAACGTTCCTTCAACTGTTGATTTCAGTCAAGGAGCTGAAACTATGACCGAGAGTGTGGCTGAACTACATAAATAAGTTGTTGAGTGTCACGGTCATGCTTGTCCATGGAGTGTTGCCCGTGGCTGCATGCCCGCTACATGCCAAACCCCTCATATGTACTACTTTTTGCTTTCATTTACCGCTTTCTTGATGTATAGTTTCATTATTGTATTTTCTAGGAGTATAACATTTCGGCAAAATCATATCTTCGCTTAGTAGACTTGAAATGCCACATAATGTACTACAGGGAGATGTGACTAGTCGTCAATTTTTCCTACCAAGAGTTGTATGCTATCTAAGCCGTTGTGTTGCCTTTCTTGTTTACTAGCCTATAACATTACTTTCACCATTGCTTTCATCATTACTTTCAAACTCTCTTCTGAAAATCTCTCTACCCCATTTTCTAAAACCCTCTTCTCAAAGCGGGGCCAAAGGCTTGGGTATACATCTTCCAGCCAACAATGACTCGAATTCGAATTGGCTAACTCACTCAGTAGCAAGGGCAAGTGTCACACAATCGCTTGCAAATGTCAAAAGAAAGTGTGATTGTGACCGTTGGTATCAGAGCCAAATTGGCTCCAAGAAACAGTTCAGTAAACATGTCCACGACAAAGCAATTTAACAAGTCTCACGCCAATCGACTGGTCGACATCGAAGAGCAAATGCTCTATCTACAAGAAGTCCTCGACAATCTTCGTTATGAGGATGAGCATGTGAAGGAGCTGGTTGTCTTGATGGAAGATTGGATTGATATAGTAGCTAGTTGTCTTGATGGGATGCCTATTCAGGAACTGATGTTCAAGGTTGACACCCTAGAAGAGATAGCCACGAGAGTTGGTGGCTTTGAGCGAAGGGATAGCTTAACGGGCTCTGTTGCCCAAATAAAAGAGTGTCGATGGTTTGGACAGCTCCCAGAAAGCGGTCATTCAGATGCTCAACGGACTCTCTAAAGATGTGAAAGCGGCCCTCAACATGGTCAGGGAAAAAGTGCCAAACCTATGCGCCAAACTAAATCTTACCATAAGAGAGGTGGGGAACCAAACTCCTACAGAGGTAGTACAATTCAACAAAGTTAAAGTTCCAGAGCCCAAACCCTTCTGTGGGGTTTGGGATGCCAAGGCCCTAGAAAACTTCATCTTCGACCTTGAGCAATACTCGCAAAATTATTCCCACAAAAATGGCGAAATTGAGTAAAGAAAGATCCCGTGCCAGGAACACTGTGACAGAGGAAGCAAAAGTCACATTGGTGATGATGCATCTAACTGAAGATGCAAAACTATGGTGGTGGTCAAAGTATATGGATATCCAAGACGGTCGATGCACGGTAGATACATGGGAAAGATTGAAGCAAGAACTCCGCTCACAATTCTTTACAGAGAAAGTTGAAATATTGGTTAGGAGAAAGTTGACACACATAGGGAATGTCCGAGAATACGTCAAGCAATTTCTTGTGCTGATGTTGGATATTTGCGATATGTCTGAGAAAGACAAAGTCTTCTATTTTCTTGAGGGATTGAAGTCGTGGGAAAAATCAAAGGTATGTGAACAACGAGTGCAAGACCTCTCCTCAGCCTATGCTGCAGCAGAACGGTTATTTGAACGGAGCAATGAACAATCATAAGATGTGAGACAGAACCAACCTTCCTCAATTGGAGGCAACAAGAACAACAAGCCGATCTCACCCCAAAGTGGGGAAGGCAATAGAACGGGATGAGAAGATCATAGACCCCCACAATAAAAGAGTGGAAATTTTGGGTGAGGACTCTACCACCCAAATCACTCAGTCGACCCCAACCCTACTTCATTTGCAAGGGGATCCATAGGGTGTATGAGTGCCCCAAGTGGGCAGCCCTCCAGGCCTTCCAAGCCACAGGAATGGAGCCAGAAGCCAGACTCGAGATAGAGGAGACAGAAAGATCTTCATCTAAAAACATTGACAACCCATGTATGGGGCTCTAAAGTTTCTATCTGCTATTCAAAAGAAAGTAGGGGAGTCAAAGGAGCCGATCGAAAGGGGCATGATGTACGTGGAAGCATGGGTTAACCACAGAGTGACCAAGAGCACTATAGTCAACTCTGTGACCACCCACAACTTTATGACAAAGACTGAAGCTGAACGCTTGAATATTAAGTGGCACTGAGACTCAGGAAAATAAAAGACGTCAACTCGGCAGCCCTACCAATTTTGGGAGAGGCAAAGAAGATCCTCATCAAAATAGGAACTTGGAGTGGACAAATGGACTCTGAGATCGTTTAGATGAATGACTTCAATGTCGTATTAGGGATGAAGTTCCTATTTGAACACAAAGTCGTCCCCATGCCCTTTGCCAAATGCTTGGTCATCACGGGTGGCCCCACAATTGTCCAAATGAACATCAAGCAACCAGAAAGGGTGAAGATGATATCAACCCTCCAGAAAAAGCGAGGCCTCACTTATAATGAACCCACCTTCATGGCCATTCCTATGGTCGAAGTTGCGAACTCGACTGAATTGATCCCTATAGAAATACAGAAGGTGATAGATCGGTATCAAGACATGTTGACTTGAACATGATAACTCAGACACTTGAACTGCCCTTCCACAAAACCCAAAGTTGTGGAAGCAGAAACAAAATAGTTATACAAAACTGTAAATGGCACAACATACACAGCAGAATATCTTACATTGAAATTGAAACCAATCGTAAAATCCTCAGTCCAATTAAGATTCATTTAGCACAAACATTGAGAATACTAAACCAAGTACGAAAGTTAATTTAAGTGTGTAGATTTAACTAGATTAAGGATTAAAAATCAAAAAGAAGAAAAGAAGATTAGAAATATAAGTTTGCTATTATTGGCAAACTCAGGCAGTAGTAACTTTAAGAAAGTAAAATAAAAAGCTAAAAAATTAAAAAATGAATCAGAACTATAATAAAAATGTATGGTTCTTTAACTTCCAATAAAACACACGTTCCAGGCAAGTATTACCTTAAATAGAATCTTAACTTTCACTAACAAGACATGTTCCTTGTATGTTAAAATTAGATGCCTTCGCCACCGATGAGAATCAAACTTATTAAAAAGATTCGACCAAATAAATAATTGACAACAATAAGAACCATATTTGAATAATCTAGCTAGCCAACAGGTATTCTAACTGTATTGACCTTATATGAAAAAAACTAGTCCAATGTATATTCTGGGGAGGGCAAGTACAAGGACAGATTTATACCAACAACTTGTGACTGAAATATCGGGACAAGCACCCATCAAAGTGATCTACTTGGTAGTTGAGGCACCAATCGAAAAGGTTAGGAATCAGGTTGATAATTGTACCAAGTAGGGGGTGAGTCGTAAGCGAACCACCTGAAGATTCCTCAAAGCCACTTGGCTCAGCCAAGGAACATAGAAATTGAACAAAATTTCCTAGGAACAGAAATTTTAATCCTTGCTTCCGATGCAAATTACTGTAACATGAGTCATCATTGCTCTGGACTTCTACAATGTTAAAACTTTCCTCAGTGAGGATCTTACCCAATAAATTCCAAGGAATCTTTGAAAGACAAGAATTAACAGAATCAAAGAACACTGCAACAAGATCACTCTGCTCTTGCTTTAAGAATTTCAAGGTATTTCGCAAAACTTGAATAATGCCAGCAACTGTGGACAAATTGGAACTTTTCAGCTTAGGTAATAAGATATTACTTAAGGTCGATAAATAACAGTCTAAATTTTCAGACCCAGTGATTGAGGGTGCAGGAGAAGATATGAATCTGGCAAGCACCAACTCCATGCAAAAACATAATGAGTGAACCAATTCATACCAGTGTCTTGTGCTTCCCTGCATAATTAAACAGGTTGAAATATTAGCATAAAACCTATGTGATAGTGATACACTAAAATTTCAGACACAAGTAGAGTAACATACAGTTAGAAACACAAATTTCGTAATGGCTGTAAGAACATTGCCCACAAGATGTTTGACATACTGATTCTCAAAAGCTAGTAAAAGTACCTGCAGATAAGGAGAAATGTAAATTTCCTACAGGTGAAGTAGAGAAGAAGTTTGGAAGGATTGTTGACTTAGATTAACAATACAATTAAGAGATAGAATACCAGACTATCCAGAGGATTACTTTTCGGGGAAGCGAAATAAATTTCATTGATAAATGAAACAAGGGAGGAAAATCTCCCTAATAGAAAGAGAATCACAAGAAAGATTTCCAATTGAAGAGTACAGAAGCAAGACTATAGCCTCTAAAGGGGTGTACATTTACACCTACAGAAAGGTGTCAACAAAATTGAGCCCATAAAACCAGTAAAAGTCAAAGAAACATCCCTGAAAATTCTGCTATTACAATGCGTTCTTTGTGCAAATAAGAACGTTACATACCCTGTATTTAACTTCACAGCAGCATCAGAAACAAGGTACAAACAAAAATACACTCTTTTTGACTACAAGAAGAGAAACTCCCATTTTTATGCATTAAACAAGTATGTACATAAAAAACTAAATACTTTACTGAACTTAAAATATGCTAGTCAATTCCATCATTGGCTTGGCTCTTTAGAGCTTCGTTTTCTACAGAGGTTACGAACAAGAGCAGAGAAATACACCCAAGTTTATGCATGTCACAACTGTTCACAACAAATCAATGTTTATGCATGATGACTTTGCATCTGAGCATAAGCACTGCTTTTCTCGTGAGAAATCAACATTTAGTTAATTGACTGCAAAAGCATTATTGAGAACAAAGAACTCGAAAACTATGTCCTGGTCCTCCCTAAGTCCATATTTATTGTAAGAAATTACCAATTCAGAGATAATCTTTGCCATACAATGATGCCTCTCAAAAGATTGGTCACACTCATCACTGCTTTTCTCGTGAGAAATCAACATTTGAATCCCTTCCTGATCGACAATACATCAATGAAGTTACTGAAAAGTGCAAGTGTCTGAGAGAGAGAGAGAGAGAGAGACAGACAGACAGACAGAGACAGAGACAGAGACAGAGACAGAGAGACCAACATTATCAGAGTCACCATCAATTTCTTGAACCCGGCGCTGAATTTCAGTTACGACCTAATGAATGAACAGACAACAAAATGAGGCAACAAACTTGTAAGGAAAACTGAGAAGTTCCAAATCAAAGAGCAACAACAGAGTCACAGAAACAAAGCGAAAAGAAAAGCGAAGCAAACATGAGAGAGCGCAATAAGCAGCTCCTTTTCCTTCTCTTTTCTCTCCAAGACCACTCCATCTTCCTATTCACCAAAAAATGAAAAGTATAACTCCTCTTCAACGATAATCACAGAAAACTTGAGGCGAATGATGTAAACGAGAAAAAGAAATGGCAACAATTGAGAACAGCGAAACCTAACTGCAAAAGGACGAAGACAATGATCGACAAGCCGGCAAAGCCACAAGCACTTCTCACCACCGAGCGACATTAGCAGGCACCGCCGATGAGTTCATCTACGGGGCTTCGAAATATTCGGTTTCCATGGCGATTTGCGAGACGAAATGAATTTGGCGCAAAGGATATGTTTGAGGGGTGAAAATGATATTTCCTATAAATTAAAATACCCTTCGCTCATTTTGAAGCCCAGAATAAAAGAGCTCGTCTTCCCATGACGGAAGCGCTTTCTTTAGCAGCGCTTGTCCAAAAATGCACTTCCGTAGCCTCACAGAAGGCGGCGCGTCAGCTCCACGCTCTGATCCTCACCTCCGCACCTACCGCCTCGTCTCTATCTCCTTACATTTGCAACAATATCGTATCCATGTACGCGCGATGTGGCACAATTTGGGAGTCACAGAAAGTGTTCGACACAATGCCGCAGAGAAATCTCGTTTCGTTTAATGCCCTAATGGCGGCCTATTCTCGGTCTCATGATCATGCTCCATTGGCTTTCAATCTGCTTTCGCAAATGGAGCTTGAATTTCTCCGACCCAATGCCTCCACTCTAACGAGCTTGTTGCAGGCAGCTTCTTCCATGGAAGATCGATTTTGGGGCCCTTTGGTTCAAACGCAAGTAGTGAAACGTGGGTTCGTTAATGATGTTCCTGTGCAAACCGCGCTAATTGGGACTTACTCACATTGCTTGGATTTGGAATCTGCTGGAAAAGTTTTCCGGTGGACGATCAATAAGGATATTGTGGCTTGGAATTCCATGATCTTTGGAAATTTGAAGAACGATAAATTGAACGAGGCGCTTCGTCTGTTCAATGAAATGCTGGGAATTGGTCTGGTTCCTACTCAATTCACGTATTCAATGGTTTTGAATATATGTTGTAGAAATGGAGACTGGCAATTTGGTCGACTCGTCCATGGCCGTATCATCACCTCAAATGCCATAATTGACAGAACTCTGCAAAATGTTCTGTTGGATTTGTACTGCAACTGTGGGGATACCCATACGGCGTTTTGGATCTTCAACAGAATTGAAAACCCAGATTTAGTTACTTGGAACACAATCATCTCAGGGTGTTCCGAGAATGAAGAAGAAGAGATGGCCATGAAGCTATTTTTACAATTGCGGAAATCATCACTTCCCAAACTAGACGGTTATACTTATGCAGCTGTAATCTCCACCATTGACAGCCCTCGGAGTGGAATGTCGTTTGTCGCTCAAGTTATAAAGGATGGATTTGAAAGCAGTGTGTTTGTAAGCAGTGTCATCGTGTCCATGTTATTTAGAAGCGGCGAATCTCAAGCTGCTGAGAGGGTTTTTGGGTGTATTGCGATGAAGGATGTTGTTCTGTGGACTGAAATGATCAGTGGGTATTCAAGAATGGGCGAAGGGGAAAAGGGTATCAAATGCTTTCATCAAATGCATCAGGCTGGGCATGAAATTGACAGTTTTTCACTCAGTTTGGCTTTGAGTTTGTGTGCTGATCTTGCCACTCTGAAACAGGGGGAGACGTTTCATTCTCAGGCCATAAAAACAGGGTGTGAAGCTGAAACCTATGTCCTTGGGAGTCTAATCGACATGTATGCCAAAAATGGTGACTTGAGTTCTGCTAAGTTTGTATTTTCTCAAATCCCATATCCGGATTTGAAGTGTTGGAACTCCATTCTTGGAGGGTACAGCCACCGTGGGAATATGGAAGAGGCATTGAATCTGTTCTTTGAGCTTCGAGACCATGGTGTGGAGCCAGATCAAGTAACATTTCTTTCCTTACTTTCGGCTTGCAACCACAGCAGCTCAGTTGAAATAGGGAAGTTTTTATGGAGCTATATGAAGGAAAGTAATATTATGCCAAATTGTAAGCACTATTCTTGCATGGTTAGCTTGTTAAGCCGAGCTGGGTTCATGGACGAAGCAGAGGAAATGATTATCAAATCACCATTTGCAGATGGTGATCCAGAGCTATGGAGAACTCTGCTAAGTTCGTGTGTTGCTAAGAAAAATCTGAGAGTGGGAGTTCGTGCTGCAAAACGAGTGTTGGGATTAGATTCAGAAGACAGTGCAGCTCATATCTTGCTGTCGAATCTGTATGCAGCAGCAGGGAAATGGGATGGTGTTGCAGAGATGAGGAGAAGAATAAGAGAGTCAAGGGTGGGAAAGGAGCCTGGTCTAAGTTGGATTGAGAGTAAGAGGCATATCCAAGCGTTTTCTTGTGGTTTGCAGTCACATCCAGAGGTTGATGAAGCTCGAGTTACGCTGCTTAGGCTGAGAGGAAACATGGGTGCAGAAATGGATGAATCAAGTGGGATAGGAGTTTAATCAAGCGAGAGCATTTCAGACACTGAAATTTATTAGTGTTCTTATACCAACTGGTAAAAGTTAGGGGCTAAGTTTTGAAATGTAGAGGTTGGGGAGAATCATATAATGCCACCATTCAATTTTGGTCTTTATGGCTTTGGGTGGGATTTTTGTGGCCCAGTAATTAGGAGACACTTAACGACTCATAGTGAGTTCAGAAAATAGGTAGTTCCCTCGAAATGATTTTACCCCGCCATACAAAACTTCTATCACACCAGCCTCTTCCAGTGCGTGTTCCTCAAAATGGCTGTTGAACATATTTACCAGCTCCCTCTTTACTTCACTGCATTTCTCAATAATACGGTGCTTCCACTATGCCAATCACTAGCATTTACACAAAATTCAAGATAGTAATAACAAAATATATTCAAATTAACTCCGCAATTTAAATGATATATCTTACATACAAAAAAACAACGAGCTACACTAAGCAAACATCCTAACCATACTATTTTGGCATGTCTCATATTCTCACAACTGTACTTGCCATAGTCATGCATTGCGTGGATGCTACACATTCTGCTTTGAACTCTAGAATCCATATGTCGTCCTCCTCATCATTCTGAAGAACTCGTCAACATTCACTTCACCATCATCTGCAGATACAAATCCAAGTTAACTACTTTTCTTCCATCTACAACCAGCTACATATCTAGAAATCTAAAAAAAAAACGAGAATAAAATTGGAAACTTGTGATTAAACTAACATAAGTTGCCATCAAGTACAAAATAGAGAGGCCTACAGACATGTGGCTAGGTATCAAATGAACAGGTCCATTGCAGGTAGTAAATAAAGCGAGGTAAAAAAGACAGGACGTATGTTTCAGATATTAGTTGCTTTTAACCCAACAACAACCTTCATAGAATAATACACATCTAACTTATCTGGTCCAAAAGCAAATACTACAAGAGTGATAAATTGAAGTATTAATACAAGCCTATGGCCAGACTTTAGTACAAACAAAATTCAAATTTCGCTGCTACTGCGTATTTTAAGGATTTAAATGGAAGGTAAACAAAGAAAAAAAGAAAAGAAAAGGAACGGAAAACAAAACTAATGTGAATCTTTTTTAAAAATTTAAAAGACACAATAATGTAGTCTCCAAAGGAAAAAGAAAAGCTCATAAATCTGTGTACACTATAGATTCGAAGAAAACCACCCCCAATTAAAACGGTGCCCAAATGTTAATATCCACCGTCCTTATTCTACATAAACTTATCAAAAAGCCATTGAATTAGAATTGATAACAGAATGAGTACCACTGGAAAAATGATTCGAAGGTGAACATCCTAAAGAGCAATGAACATAGTAAACTCAAAGACCTCCTGCCATTTTATTCATTTCAATTGAAAATTTGACAGTTTCTACCCATCTAAATTTTCCAAGCAGAAATCTTTTTGAGACATTGTTTGGGATGGTTTGAACAGTTAAAACATTTACTATCAACTACATTTTGAGCAAAACCACAGGTAATAAAAAAGAAAGTAAATTAGTATGTGATAAATTTCAATTCTAAACCTAGAAAAATATGATGAGAAATTTCTAAAAGTTTATTGCTGGAAGCTCATATTTCTCAGGACAAATCCGAATATCTACTCTATATCAAATTTAATAAATCAACGTAGATGAAAATGGTATCCTTTAACATCCGATTAGTTTCACCAAACAGTAAACACAGTTAAAATTCTCCATAACCAGTTTTAACCCTTGCAACATCCATTGCTGATGGATTCAGTATAGGGTTAACTGGGATCTATGGCCCCCTTTATATCAAGAAAGCCCAGGTTCTGGCCAGAATTACAGGACCTATCTGCCCTTTGCCTTGAAAACTAGATTTTAGAAGGGGATCCCAATGTCACCTGACGGAGTCGTGAGAAATCAAGTGGTGGCCCTCCTACAAGGTGTATGTATAAATTCAACTTCATTAATAGCTGCAATCTAATTGACCTCCCCCTTCAAAACGGTCCCTCCACTTGGTTAAACTTCTGAGACAATCCCTCATTAAATCTTATTGACTGTTTCCTTATTCTTGAAAAGTATGCAGGCTTCAGTAAAGAGGTTAGACAGACCCAACACATCCGATCATTACCCCATCATTCTTCAGTTGGGATCATCAAAATGGGGCCAGCCCTATCCAGTTCGGAAAGATGTGGACGGAGCATCATACTTCTCAACCTTTGCTACAGAAATGGTGGACAGATACCCTCAACAGGGATGGCCTGGGCAAGTCTTTGTACAGAAATGAAAAGCCTTCAAACGTACTCGGGAATGAAACAAATCCACTTTTGGCTGTATTAACTCATTGAAAAACTAGCTTTCGTTTGACATTGCGTTATTAGATACCATGGAAAAATAGGGTGACTGGCTTCTACAACATGGAATACAAAGAATATCTGTAAAATCACAATTTTTTTCTTGATACCGAGGAAGAGATATCGAGCCAACAGAAATGTAAGAACAGATGGCTATAGGAAGGGTATATGAATACTGGCTATTTACACAGACTTATGAATGTTAAAAAAGATGAAAACCTCCAATTTTAAGGAGCTTCTGGGGATGGAAGAAGTCTATTGACAGAAATAGAGATTGAAAGGGAATTCATCATACAAAAAGGACCAGAAGTCACGACTCTGACTTCCTATTTTGCAATGGGAACCCATCATAAACAAATTCAACATCCCTCTAGTGCAACTATTGATGATAATTTTGCTGTTGCCCTAGAGGGATGTGTGGGCTGCCAGTCCCAGTAAAGGA